TATATATATATATATATATATATATGTATTTTTGAACGAAGTGCCAAGTGTCTTTCTCTCTTTTTCTTTTTCCTCCTTTCCTTATTCCGTTTCGTTTAAAAGCCTTTAAGAGACTTGCCCGTAGGCTCCTCTCGGACAACGATTATCTACCCGACGACATCTTCCCGCTGTCGAACTTCCTATAATGATTAACTACACGAAAATACATCATAGCTATCTCCTCTTCCTTCTTCTTCTTCTTCTGTTTCTTATTACTTTCTTCTTCTTCTTCTTCTTTGACAAGTAAACGCCGATCCCAACGCGTATACATGCACCAAGCGCGAACGCGACTGCGTTCGGCAATCGTTAAAGTTCTTATACACGGCCACTTTGCCGAAGCTCTGCTTCGCACCTCCACCGTGCTAAACCTAGGCGCTCTCGACGACGAACGAAGTTTCACTGAGGCGGCGCTATTTCGACGACACCCTTCGCCATTGATCAAATAATTTATAGTTTTAACTACGAATTTTATCGTATCGAGGTGCCATCTGGTCACGTTTTAAACTAACTAATTATCAACGCGGCAAAACTCGAATCAATTTGAAACATCATTTATGAATGTTATTTATTATCATATTTATTTGTTATATAATGTTTTACATTTATTAATGTTTATATTTGTTTATGAAAAATTTAACTATATTAATTATTCATATTAATTAAATAAAAATATATATATATGCAATATTTCTATTAATAAATATATTAATTTATAATTCAAGTTTATATTAGATTCTACTTGAGAACGTTGATGCCTATTAGATTTTACAAAGTGAAATGTGTAAGTTTGTTTTTTTTTTTTTGAAATTTATTTATTGATAAGTAAAATTACATATATCCACAAACACAATATGTTCTTTCATGGGGGATTTAGGAAAAGGATTTAGAAGGAGTGATGGTGGTGGTGGTGTGGTGTAATAATAATGCATTAAAACTTGTGAACAGTGAAGAAAAATGCGTGGTTAAGGGGAAAAAAGAGGTAAGCATTCTTATCCTTAAACGAGATAATATTCTGTATTTAATTGAGGTCAAGGTGGGAATCAAAGGAGTAGAGGAATACGTGGTTGAGGACAAAGGATTCGTGGTCGTGGAGATGTTTAATTTAAAAATTATAATTCTTCTATGTAAGAGTGATAATTTTCTAATATTTATGTACTCTCATTTATCCGTTATTTTAATCGGTTTAAGGTTAGCTTGGATGGATGCACAGATTCTTAGTATACATATATACTATTATACTTTATACTAAGAACTCATAAGAAAATGATTATTTTTAACAGTTACTTTGTTTATCTTTCTTCATTATTTTTGTCTCTCTCTTTCTTTCATTCTTTCTTTTAAATGCTTTCTTCTTTCTTTCCTTCGTTCCTTCCATTTGGTTTCATTAGTTTTTTTTTTGTCTTTCAATTTTTTAATTACTATCCTTCAAAACTTAAAGACAAGTGTGTTGTTATTTCTTAATTTTATCTCAACATTGATAAAAATAAAAATATCACAAGCAAAAACGATCCATAGGCAATAGACTTTTTTTGACTGTGATGATATACGCATTAATAACGTTATCTAATAATCATCCACTAATAATATTCCCTGTACAATTCAACATCTTTTACGAGCCACAGCAACGTTTCCTTCTTTTTTTCTTTTTTTTTTTTTCTTTGAAGGAGCATTTTTATTTTAAATGATTTTATTTTCATGTTTATATTTTCTTTTTCTTTTTCTCTAAATTGTTAAACAGTTTTGAAACTTGCTGCTGCATTTCACTTCATTTCTTTTTTGTTCTTCTCTTTTGTTATTGTTTCTCTTTTATTTATTTATTTTTTTTTGTTTCTTTTCTTTAAAAAGAAAGACAAAGTTTTGAAATAGGAAAGCTAGGAGTTATTGGCAGAAACAATTTCTGCATTATTGTATATTGTTTTATACGAGTGTGTCACATTGCGCATTATATATACTGATATAATATATATATAATACAGGATCATGATTACAGATTGATACACAATGTACGAGAAAAACTGAAAAAATTGTAAAAATAAAGTCTAGCTCCATTATTATTCTCTTCTTCCATTTTTTTCTTTTTCTTTTTTTTTACTCTTTATCTTCTTTTAACTTCTAATCCGAACTGCTATTTAAAGGACGTATATTTTCTTCCTTTCCCCCTTACATCTCTCACACATGGCATTTTTAAGCTATGTCAATTGTCTTGATATATATGTACTTATCACCTCTTTACAAAAATCAATTCTTAAACTTATATAGGATAACTCGATGGAGATTCGCAGAATTATGAACTGTACAATGATATTTAACAAATTCAAACTGATATGCTCCATTACGATAATACTGATATATATATATATATATTATATAATAATATTATATTATAATAATAATAATAAAAATAAAAATAATAATAATAATAATAATAATAATAATAATAATAA